AGAAGGAGGAGAGGTAAGGACGATAGATGTTTGATAGGAAAGAAGGAGGAGATATAAGGACGGAAGATGTTAGATAGGAAAGAAGGGGCAAACCACAACAGCGATCACCCGCAAACCACCCAGCCTACTCCCAGGTTTGCAGTTTGTGTCACACAATACATGTTTTGCATCTCAGCCGACACACACTGGTTTGTGGGTGGTTGGCGGGTGCTCTGGTGTGGTTTGCTTCTTCTTTCCTATCAAACGTTTATCGTCTTTATCTTCCCTTCTTCTTTTCTGTGTTTGTTACTCTCTTGTAACACCTCTAATCTTCGGCACTTATATGACAATATTGTGTTGCAAGTGCCGTAAAACACTTAACTAAAACTTTAAAAAAAACAAAAAACACTGGTTTATTCTGCAGACGGGCTGCTTTGACTATGTCTGTCAGGGCTGGGCTGAGAGGAGAGGGATACCACCGCAAAACAAACAAAAAACAAAATAAAAAAACGACAGCAACAAAACAAAACATTTCCTGTGTGACAATCCTTTGCTTGTTTTAAGGTTGTAATGTAAGGCGAAGGGCCTACACAACAGACATGGGTGGTTGGCGGGTGCTCTGTTGTGGTTTGCTCCAATTCTTTCCCTCCTATCCAACATCGGTCGTCCTTATCTCTTCCCCCTTCTTTTCTTAGTGTGTTACTCTCCAGTAATAACTGGTCTCTAATCTCCGGCATTTATATGATGCATAACTTATTTGTGCTGGGGAAGAAAACAAAAAAACAAAAGAAACAAAAACAAAACAACTAGATATCTAAAACGAAAGCAAACGAAAGCGCAGACACGTAACACATGCGTCAATTTCGACAACAAGTTCCAAACGTCAGACAGAAACTCTCACCAGATGTTATTTCTAGAAACACATGTAGATCTACGTATAAATCTAACACATGTAGTTGTACCAGAGAAGACAGTGGCAACATTTTGCAGACATGAAATAGTGGGGGGTTGGCGTGTGCTCTGGTGTGGTTTGCTTCTTCTTTCCTGTCAAACGTCTATCGTCTTTATCTCCCCTCTTTCTTTTTTGTGTTTGTTTCTCTCTTGTAATACCTTTAAGCTTCGGCGCTTATATGACCTTATTGTGTTGCAAGTGCCGTAAAACTCTTACTAAAACTAAAAAAGAGTACATGAAATGTGTGCTCTATACGTCTCCGGAAGACGTCACGTGGATATGTTTTTGTGTGACGTCACACTCAAAACGCAACACACGTGAGCTTAGATAAATGATAACGTTACCCACGAACTATGATAATAATAATATCCAGCAATCATGTGTTCTTTATAAGGGGCTGTCGTCATCACATTCTGTGCAGACATGGCGGCACTGATCGAGCGACAGACGACGCAAAGTGGTGACGTCACATTTTTGTCAGTTCCCCAACATTATCTGACAGTGTCAGAGTTTGGGGTGTACTTCTCTCTCTCTCTCTCTCTCTCTCTCTCTCTC